TGTAAACACTATGTTATATTTACAACTGCCCCTTATCCACATCCCCAGGGCTCTGACTTCACAAGTACAAGTGGTGTGGAGGTCACACAATTCTTCCAGAACATCTTGATTTTTGGACTTGCAAGATTGACTAATCTGCCACCTAAGGATTGTTGACCATGATTCTGATTTTTATCTTGAGTGGTGTATGAACCATTACTATTCTGATGTTCCTCATTGCATTTGTCCCAATAAATGGTTAATGGACAACAGTTGCATAGTGAGAGAAGGTTCCTGTAGTTCTTCCATTCAATCCTTCCACTGCACAGATTATGTACAATTGTTGCTGAACTTCCAACCCTTGCATAACCATACCGTCCTGTTGAAGACTCAGTGCTCTTGGTCCTGGTGTGTTAATCATTATCCATGGTGAAATTTCCTGTAGTGAGTAGCCCAATGCTATAGAAAAAGCTGCTCCTTGCAAGAAGTATTTTTATAGTCTTTTGGACTCAACTGTGCAATCTCTGTCTTTGGTAGGATGACGAGTTGATCTTCAATTGTTTCCCTAGCAGTAATTCTGATAGCAACAAGCTATATTGGAATGGGGTGGATGTGTAATTTAACAAAACTGTATAAAGTTCTTTTTTTAATAAAAGGTAAAGAGCTTTGATCATCTGTATCACACTCAGCCTATCTCAGTGAGCTGGTTACACATTTAAATCCAGAAAATCTGAAACACTCATTAATGAACTATGGTCCATTGTCAGATATAGCTACACTGGAATCTCATGTGGAATGAACATTTCGTGTAAAACCCTGAAAAATGTGTCCATGGGGTTTTGTTTTCTTTCAATCAACAATGAAAAGAAGTTAAGAACAATAAGGCAAGACCATCAAACAAAATGGATTTCCACTTATTCCCATAATTTGGTGGAATGGTAAGCAATGGCTCTCTGCATTCAAGCCTACAAATAACACACGCTTTACAGTCAGCTATGAGATTGCCAATCTTTTTTGAGATGTCTGGCCACCATGCTGATACCTGAGCCCTAGCTTTACATTCGATATTGCCCAAATGTTCCTGGTGTAATTTGTTTGGGATGTGATCTCTGAGTGAAGCTGAGATGATCAGTGCGTCATCAAGTACCAACAAGTTATGAAATGATTCATGTTCGCCAGTGAATTCTAAATCAGATGTTGTATGATTGTCAACAGTCACTCAGAAAAAGGTAGCTGTTGTTTTTTGCAGCTTCCCCTACACCTATTTGGTTTTGTAGGCAAACCTCAAAAGATGGAAACAAAACCTTTATGTTCTTGAAGGCATTTGTATCAGTTCTTTATCAAATAACAGGGAGACCAAACATTTATGGTGCACATCTATTGGGACTTTCTGGACCTCTGTGCATGTCAGAATATTTTTAATCTTTTGGAAGGCAACTTCCTGATGTGAATGATGACACTGTCATCATCTTTTCAGTAGTTGGTTCAAGATTTCAGTCGTTGTCAAAGGGTGAGGCAAAGATTTTGCCAATTGCCCATTGGTGCACTGGTAGCAATTTTCTAAGAATCCTTAACTTCTGGAAAAGTATCAGAGGATTTGGAAGCTGCCAATGTGACACATTTATTCCAAGAGAGAAGGAGACAAAAGCAGGCAACTATAAATTACTTAACATAATATCTATCATTGGGAAAAAGCTGGAGTCTATTATGTTCAGTTCTTACGTTTCAGTGAGAAACCATCTTGTTAAAACCAAAGACACAAAATATGATTTCCCAAGACAGGTTTCAGTCTGGGATCTGATTTGATCAGTAATAGCATCAAATGGGATCATAACTATGCCTAAAAATCTTTACAAGTCCTGAACTAATTTTGTAAACACTTTAGCAGCCTTCATGTTCTGTGGACCCAGCATTACACCATTTGTGTCAATAATTGTGTAAAGGTGTAGGTGCCACATTAAAGGAAAGATGAAAATGCATTGGATAGAGTGCAGAAGTGATTTACCAGAATGGCTCCAAGTATGAGAAATTTCAGGTATGGGCAAGATTGAAGAATTTGGGTCTGTTCTTCCTGGATAGAAGGCTGAGAGAAAATCTGATTGAGGTTTTTAAAATCATGAGCAGCCTGGACTCAGTCGATAGGGTGAAGCTATTTCTGATTGTAAAAGAAACAAGAACAAGAGGGCATAGATTTAAAGTGATGTACAAATGAAGCAAGGTGATGTGAGAAAAAATGTTTTCACAAACCAGGTTATGTTATGGAATACACTGTCTGGAAATGTGGTTTCAATTGAGGCATTTAAGAAGACACTGGATGTTTCATTTTTGGATAGTAATGGTGTGCAGGGATATGGGGAAACTGCAGGAGGTTGGCATTAGATTATAGAGACGGACTAGATAATAGTGCCATTGCAGGCCCAATGGGATGAGTGGTCTTCTTCTGCACCTTAATAATTTTGTATTTCTGCAATGAGTCCCAAGAAGCAGCTTTATGCCATCTTCACCATGGCATGTGTCCCTAGAATTAAAAGGATTCTTTGGAGAATTCACACTTCTGATGTGAGTAAGTTCTGTGATCATCTCTCCATGTATCATTATGCCTTTAAACCTTATATTATAAATGGAAAGATTCCTGGGCCTGGACAACCTCAAATCTGTTGAAACAATATCTCCTAAATAGAATGATATAAGTAGCCAGCAGTCTTGTTTGGTCATCTAATGGACCTGCCAGAATTCACTATTGACAAATTTGATAAAAGTTCTATTTTTAGACAATTTAGTTAAAGTCTCCTCGATAGTACACATGGTTTGTACTTCCTAGTTATGGCTTTGTTCAAGTATGATAAGTAAACACAAACTCTGTTGACCTTTTGCGTTTAGATACAGAAACCATGCCCAAGCACCACCTGATTGGTTCAGTCATCCTGGAAGTTATGCCTATTTGTTTATTTCCTGAAGTTGCTTCAGAATTTGAGGGATGTGGAATTTTCCTTCGGTGTAGAAATATGACATTTAGTGTCATTCCATAATGTGATGCTGTATTCAGTATTGAGTTTGCCTAATCTTGTGAACAATTAAGGGTTATCTCTCTCAAAGAAATGCTTATTCCTTTGCTGATGTGGTTTGAGATTTTGACAAAGATTGAGGGCACAACACACTTTCTTGCTCAAAAGTGAAGTTTGCTATTCTGAATGACATATTCCTTGTCTACTGGTTGACATTGTTTATGTTGTAGTGTTGCTAGCAGCATCACTGACTTTGGGAGTTCTACATGCACCGACAACCTCACAGCTGTAGGCCGTGACTTCTATTTCTGTAGTCATGGTACAGTTAGATAGGATAGTGACATTTGCTCCTGTATCAAGAATAAATTGAATAAGTTGTTCATTGACATAAACAATTTCAGTCATAACCAGTTATGATGGATTTCTCCAAGGAATTCCTTAAGTAACCCCTCAAATGGAGGTGTATATTCAAATGCTGATATGCCTTCTAATGGAGATAGGTGACACACCATGTAGAGTTCTTTATGTATGTATCCACTGGTACTTCCACTATTTCTTTCCACAGAGGTTGTATACTTCTGTTATGACTACAGACTGCCTTTGCCTTGAAAGATTCTTTCTTCTGCAGTATTTACGTTGATTCTTCATATCTAATGTTTAGCTTTTCGTGATGCTTATGTTTCATAAGGTAGAAACATAAGGTATGTTTATACCCTATGAAGCAAATGGACTCTGTTGTTCTTCTGTGATAAAGTTGTTTTTCCCATCTCAGTATCTGTCATTTTTCCTGGACTCTTCTTTCAAGAATATTTGGACAGCTTTTTCCAAAGTTACATCCTCCTTGGACTCTAAAATATCTGATAATGACTGATCAAATATTCTGACAACAGTACTGTCTCTTATGAATTCAAATTGCAAAGCTCCATATTCTCAGGTTTCAATGAATCTATAGGGATTATTAATAAATTGCATACAGATTCTCCTGGAAGGTTAATGCTTCTATTATATCGTGGCCATGCAAGAATTATATTTGCTCTTCAGGTCAAGTCAAAAGCTTTTACGATATCAAAAGTGTTTGCATCTTCTGTTTGCTCTCAATTTATAGACTCATCGGTTATTGGATCTACTCCATATATAAGCATATTAACTGTTTCTGATTTGATACTCATTTTTGAAGAAATTCACTATCTTAAGAATTGTTTTCTGCATGAAGTTTGATGTTTTGTTCTGTTGAGGCCATCTCTGATATTGAATCTGGTGGGAAGTATTTTTCTTTAATGTAATGACTAAACTTATTACAGTGAAAATATTTTAGTCTCCATAATTAACATTTTATTTCAGTCTAATGTGCCATAATCTTGCCCAGTTTTAAACTTTATAGTTCAAAATGATTGAAAATCATAAATAAAGATAAAGCACTGAACATAGCAGCCGACCATCATCTAATCTGAAAAATTGACTATATTAGCTTCTGTGGAGACCGAAACCACAGTCTTTTCAACATTTTCTATTTTCAGTGTTGATGTTATGATTTGACTCCTCAATGTCCGAGCCTTGAAATGGACACTTTTACATGCATGAGTTCGGATCACATTGAAAGTTTATATGCTGCGTAACTGAATAATAACAGGAGGAACATAGCAATGCTCTAGTTGTAATGTTTCTTATCCTGATAAATTGTCTCTTGCAATACAAAGAAAACTGCATTAAAGAGCATTTTAGCAAATTATTGACAACTGACTACATTGCATTTTATACCTTTCTAGATCTATAACAAAATTTAGACCTTTATTGCAGGAACAGTGTAATAAAATAGAAACCTGAATGGGATTTGTTGCTCCACAATATTGCTTGTGACTATCGTAACCTGGAATTTACCATTTCTATACATGCCAGCTACCAGTAATTAAATTCTCAGGCACTTGAACATTTCTAAAATGTACGAGACCAAGGTAAGTCAGTGTAAGAGCAAATAATCAAGGCCAAATGATTAGGCTTTATTAATTCATAGCTTACGGGAATGCGTTTGCATGCTTTAATTTCTGCATATTCTTCATGGTTAGTTGTGAGTACAGACAGAGAGAAACCTTGAAGGATTTATTAGTAATAAAACCAAACATTAGTTGAGATCATGCAAAAAATGTGTTAGGGTTCAATAGCCTAGCAAATCTTTTGAAAATTGTGAAATAGTTAAATGAGTCGAGCACCTTTTTGGAACCAGACTTTGGAAATGATGAGGATTTGATCCTTGAGAATATTCCACCTTTGCCCTCTTGCTGGAACCACAATTTCAAAGAGGAAAGTTTAATTTTTATTCAAAGTATTATAGTTAAGATTTCCTTTTTTCTTAAATATGTAATAGATTCTTCAAAGAAAGACTTTAACATAATTTCCATTGGACTTCAGGTCAATATTGCAGCTTTTGACCATTCCAAAAAAATGATCTACCATAATTCTCTAAATAGAAGCAAAACTGATAGTAAAATGTCAATAATGCCAAAAATTAGAGCTATACCACAGTAAAATATCATACAGGAGAGAAATCCAAACTGGCTAGTGATGCCAGGAAATTTCAGGAGTGGACATCACTTTGGCCCTCTACTATTTTTGGATTGGAAACACTGATAAACATGGTTGACAGCAGTCTCTTCCCTTAATAAGGATGTAATAAGTAGGCAATATAGAACTTGTGAGCAAATGAAGTGGCATCTATAGATAACATGTGGTCAACCAATGCATCAATGTAGTATTCCATGATGTCCCTGGAATAGCAAAATCATTATGCTGTTTATGGACACAACTACTTTCATTTAAAAACAAAGGTGTGCTCATTTTATTTCTTTCACTTCCTGTTTTTATTTCTCAACAACACAGCAATTTGACTACATATTGAGGAAAATAATTAAGAAATGCTAAAGGTAACTAAGTATCCTGGTCCACAGTTGTTGCAACCTCAATTATACGATCATACAATTGTTACTTCCATTAAGTTTCACTTACAATTAAAGGGAAATTGTCTAATCTGGAGGAGGTTTAGGACAGAATTAGTTTTTGAGATGGTCCAAACCTGTTACATTAGATATCTCAACATATTTGCATTGCAGAAAGCACATCTGCTACAGAATGGTTGCTTCCAACAGGCCTCACATTTTATGTTCCAATCATTATTGTCTAAAAATAGAGGCATTAGTAGCAAACATCATTACATCACTATATTAACAACTGTTCAATTGCTTATTTATACTTAGAGATCTGTTCAACATACACGTAAGTCTTTATATCTGCAACTTCCAGGAGAAAATAATGTTTTTAGATATACTATAGAAAATATTCAAGTTAATAATTATCCCTCTATAGGTGCTTCTGCTCATTAATATTTACTTGTGTTATCAACTGTACCCATCTTGGACTAGGTTTAGGAATTCAAACTAAAGTGACTACCATGTTGAACAGCATATGACTTCATTTACAGTTCCACAGCTTTGGTTTTAAAGGAACAGGAGTACTCTTATACAAGAACAATGTCTAAGTGTAAAGAACAGACAACAAATTTTCAATAGCTGTAACAAAACAGCAATCCTCCATTTTTCCATATTTCTAACAGAACACTGAAAATAAAATCAAAATAGGAATTATAAAATCATCTTACAGAAAGAAAAGGAAAATGATTCTTTTCCACAAAAATTAAGAGTAAAATAAATGACATGCAATGAATAGTCAGAAAAGTGCTGATTGGAAACAGAGGGGAAGAAATCGTTGAAATTGTCACCCAAGTACATGCCTGCAAAATCATAAAGTCCTCAGTGTTGCACAATGCCAAAAACTTACATTTATATAGTGCACTTAACATAATAATACTTGCACTTTTGATAAAGGAGGACCAGTGGATGAGGTGCATTTGGATTTTCAGAATTCAGAAGTCCCATACAAGAAATTAGTAAATAAAGTTAAAACACACAAAATTGAAGGGAGTATATTAGTGTGGATGGAGAATTGGTTAACAGACAGAAAGCAAAGACTAGGAATAAGTGCAACATTCTAAGGGTAGCAAGATGTTATTAGTGCTGTAGGCACTACGGCAAAGATCAGTCCTAGGTCCACAGCCATTCACAATCAATATTAAATGATTTGAATCTGGGGATCAATTGTAATATTTCCAAATTTGCTAATAATATCAAAGTGGGTAGGAAGGCGCATTGCAAGGAAGATACAGCAACACTTTGAAAAGACGTGACAGCTTCATTGAATGGATTAGAACATCTCAGGTGGAACATAATGTGAATAATTGTAAAGTTATTCACTTTGGTAGAAAAAACAGACAAACTGAATATTTCTTAAATGGTGAGAGTTTTGGAAGCAGTTGTGTCCAGAGAGGATTGCAAATGGCGTAGGGTGTCATTGAGTGCACAGATGTCATTTAAGGGTGATACATAGCAATTCTGTAAATGTACCACAAACAAACATGATTCCACTTCCTCAATGTTCAGTTGGTCTGTGAACATATGCTGTGACTCCTGCTGGATAATGCCTGCTATCCTAACAGATGTCATGATTGTTTCATTGTGCACAATGCTAACTGGATTTGAGCTATCATGGAAAACCAATATTTTTCTGTAGGTTACCCCGTCAAAATCCCCAAATAAGATCATTAAATTTGAATCATAATTGAGAGAGATTGCTGAGAAGTGAATGATCATAGTTGGGTCCACTGAATAGTTTCTGAGGCTAGAATTGCAGTTGGTAGATATATCATTTGAATATTCACTGACCTTGACCGCTCTGTGAAGTTGTGGCATTGAATTTAGATTAACACTGGCATTAACCTCCACAGCTTTCTGCTTTCACTGCCCAATCAAATTTGAATGATTAGTGCTGGCTACACACAGACATCATTCAAATGGGGAGGCAACACAAAGTTGGTGTGCTGCCTGCATTGCAATTGCCGTAAAAATAATGGTGTGACTAACAGTGATAACCACCATGTATTGTATAAATTATACACTAACTTTCTATGCCTGTGTGTATTTGCAGAAATCAGGAAGCTGCAATCGCAGGTATGATATATTTGCAAAAGTTTGTTGAAAAAGGTGTCTTGATGTCTGACTTACCATTCAAATATATGGAAGGGTTGACATTTCGGGTTGGGATTCTTCATCAGAACCTGATAATGAACCTTCTTTTTTATATTTTTTCACTCATTGATTCATAATTTTACACCTTCTCCCCCCACCCCCCACAACCGTTTTGGCCTTATATATGTTAACAATATTTTCTGGTTCAAACTCTGTCCTACTCCTTCATGATTCCTAAATCTGAATTGTTCAGGAGTTACCAAAGGGCAGTGGGAATTTGGAGCTCACTGCTTGTGAGAGTGATTGAGGGAGAAACCCTCATAACATTTTAGAAGTAATTTGATGTGCACTTGTAATACCAAGGCATACAAAGCTATGGGCCAAGTGTTGGAAAATCGAATTAGAATAGTAGATGGTTGCTTTAGACTGGTGCAGATGCAATGGGGCAAAGGGTCTTTTTCTGTGCTGTAGATTACTATGGTTCTAACTATGGCATACAAAGTTTTTTATGCTGTTCACACAGGCCCTAGGCTCTCTGTAGATTTCTTCATGCTCTTTTGATGCTTGAGTGTCAGGACTTTTCATATAAAATTCTATGAAAGGCATTGAATTAAGTGCAACTAATAAACAATTGATATGTGGTGATAAGACAGGACTCTGAATGTATGAGGAGCGTTTGATCGTCACTTCCACCTGTCTGGTCAAGGTTAGATTCCTCTACCCAAGTGGACAAGGGCAAGTAGATATTTCCCTTCTATTAGGTTTCTTCCCACCTGCTGCAAATCCCATCTAGCCATTTCAGGTCTGTGACCATTCACTCAGTAGTATTGCTTCTGAGCTATTCTTAGAGATAGGCATTGAATCCCTGCACCTACTGGTACCTTACGTACAAGTACATTATGTGCCCTTGCTACCTATATCCCACAAATGAATAAAAAAGAAATTTTCAATGTGTAATCTGAGATGTGCTGGCTTGTTTGTTGATTTTTCTTTGATCAAAGTGATTACTCATTTATGAGCTATCGTAAACATTGTGTTCTTGCACAGCAATTAAAATAAAGAAAGCAAATAGACAAAAAGCTGGATAGGGAAACTCATCCATGAACCAACTGCTATCCCACAGCCATTTAACTAGGGAGGCAGAGTAACTGTTTGGAGGTGAAACTTCCACCCCTCTCTTGGTAGGAAGTCCTGCCTTAAAGAAAATCTGGCCAATCTGATAGCCAGCATTTTTACAGTTCCAGCTGCATCATTAGGAGTCATATGATGGCAGGTAGTCCATTATGCTGAGGAGCCAGGATTAACAATTAAATCCAGACTCTCACTAGTATCGAGTTGGCAGTTCTTGATGAGGGAATTGAGGGCGTTATTAGGTTGGCTACAAGAAGCCCAGAGATGGTTAAAGTAGATGGATTACCTTGGGGAAGGTGCTTTAAATCAACCCAAGCATCTGTCAAGGAAGGTCACCCTAAAGCTAAAGCTCAAAGGCTCTCTGACTGGCAGCAATGGGATTGACTGACCACCTGAAGGTCTAAATGGGCCCACAGTTAGGCGGGCCACTCCAACAGCTCAATCTGAGCCCATGCAAATGCAAGGCAGTGTGAATGATACCTTCTGGACTTTAAGTGCCTCCCACTTTTAAATCCACCAGCAGAAACCATATAATCCAGCCCAATGTTTCTGTTGAATGGTTTGCTGCATTAAATGCACAGACTCTCAAAATATTCCCTGTAAATTTGTGATTCATGTTTAGATAACACTTACATTTACTTTTGTGTTTAATGCTATTATTTAAGCCCTCCAGTTAGCCTTTGCCAGTGATCGTCTGGGGTAGAAATTTGATATGTGTGTACCAGTTTTTTTGGTTAAGACATGCTCCAGCCATGAAGCACACAGTACAAGCCCATGTGTACATATCTGGCACAGCCAGGGATTCTGGCACTAGCATAAGATCTGCTTGAAAAATCAGAATGGACAGGAACACATCAATATCTTGTCAATCATAGAATCACTACAGTGTGGAAACAGGCCCTTCTGCCCAAGAAGTCCACATTGACTCTCAGAACATCCCACCCAGACCCATCCCCCTAAAACCCACATCCCTCAACACTATGGGCAACTTTCCATGGCCAATCCATGCACCTAGCCTGCATATTTTTGGATTGTGGGAAGAAACCGGAGCACCTGGGGGAAACCCACGCAGACACGGGGAGAATGTGCAAACTCCACACAGACGGTGTCCCAAAGGTGGAATCAAACCCAGGTCCCTGGCATGGTGAAGTAGCAGTGCTAACCACTGAGCCACTGTGCTGCCCCACTTTGTCCAATCATAAAATTTGTGTTCCATTGTTGCACTGTGCTTGTGCATAGATTGAAGGGTGGTGGCCTGGTGGTATTATGGCTAAATTATTAATCCAGAGACCCAGGTAATGTTCATGGCAGATCTGAATTCAATTAGAAAAATCTGGACTTAAGAGTCTAATGATGACCATTAAACAGCTGCTGATTGTTAGTAAACCAGATGGGTTTTTCCTATTCTCTTTAAGGCAGGAAATCAACCATCCTTACCTGGTCTGGCCCACGTGTCTCCAGACCAACAGCAATGTGGCTGACTTTTAATTGCCCCCTGGGCAATAAATGCTGGCTTAGCCAGTGATGCCAGCATCCCATGAATTAATTAAAAAGAAAGCAGTGTTTTGGAAATCAACACCCATGTGTGTTATGGTAATATTTTGTCTTGTGTAACAAGTCAACAAAGACCAAAAGTTTACTGTATAATCTAAATTAAAACTGTCCAGCCTATCAAGATTCATGCAACCAAGTTAATTCAATGAAGCATTCTCCTGCATCACATGTTGTTCTTGTTGTAACAAAATACTTTTACTTAGAAGACTCATTAGCCTTAAGCTTCAATAGCGTGATTTGCAGGAGGTGACTGCACTGAAGGATTTGTTATGTGCAAATAGGGTAAGAAGTCCCAAACTGAAACATATTCTATGAAACCAGGAGGTAATTTGGCTTAAGGTTTAGGAAAAATAAAGTGTTATGGAATTATAGACATTTGATAGCCCAGCACTTTCACAATTCGATTCATCCTTGCAGCTTGCCACACAGCAAATTTCTCATTTAATTTGCATATTTATGGGAAGAGCCCAAAAAATTTGGATGTTCCCTTAAGAGAAGGTGAAAAGAATTTCAAGGACATGGGACCCTCAGTACACCAATGAAGCCAGGAAAAGCAGAATGTAAATAATACATGCAAGAGATTTGAATAACTTATTATATAATGTTAAACTAAAATTTCAAATTTTACACAAATACGTACCACGATTAGTCCTATATATTATTTTCCTTGGAATTTTATTTCGAGTTATTCTAATGAGTAAGACAACATCAAGGTTTACCATAGATCAATTTGGCTAAGTCAATGAACATTTAAGTTGCTTTAAAGAATCTGTATACTGCTCAGTTCTTTATCACATTGTTATTAAAAATATTCTTACCTGAGGATGGTGACTTGGAATTGGTGGTGCTTGCGTTAACCCAAAAGAATCTAGAAGAAAAAAACCACAGTAAGAATACCTGTGAGATAGAAATTGCAAGCCATATATTTAAGCCATTCTTTAGGTGGAATTTTAATACTCCTTAAATGAAGGTTGTGGGAAAACAACTTTTTCAGATAGAGTGCAGTATTGCTTTAATTGAAATGATGGACATGATTTTTTAAATAGGTTACATTTAAACAGTATCTCCTTGCATGAGCAGTTGTAGGTATGTTAGTTTCAGCAAATATGATGCAAATGTGTAAATGACAAGCTTAAAATTTACTGCATGAGTTCCAATGTCACAAGAATTAATAGTTTTGCCAATTTGATAGAATGACAAAATTTGCAAGGAAGGAGGGTAGTTGAAACACACCCTCAGTATACCAGGATTGAGATTTAAAAATAAAACACGATGTTAGGCCATCATCTATTATGCATCTCTCATTACCCTTGAGAAAGTGTTGTCAGCTGCCATTTGAACAACTGCATTCATGTGAAGTATGAACACTTGCACTGCTATTAAGTAGGGAGTTCTATGAGTTTGACTCTGTTATCATGAAGAAATGATAATAGAGGTTGAAGCTAGGATGGTGAGTAGCATGGAGGAGAGCTTGCAGACAGTGATGTTCCCAAGTGTCTGCAAACACAACAGCAGAAAAACTTCCTAGTACTCAGTAATCAGCTTCTTTCCCTGTATCAAAGTAAAAGGCAACTACAGGAGACAGTTTCCAGTGTTGACTCCCGTCTTATACTGTTCTCAGTCTCTGAAAACTGCTCCTCTCCCGTGCTGTTTTCAGGCTTTTGGATGGGTCCCCTCTCTATGTAATGCTGACTGCTCTAACCGGGTTCATATCTTTATCGCTTCTCTTGATAATAATAACTGCCTTATACAGTTCCTCAACTCACTCAATATTTCCTGTTCATCTACATTATTACCCTAAACCTTCTGATATGATGTTCACTCTTAACTAAATGTTCTTTGAAATACATTTAGTCCAGTGGGCCCACCTCTTTTCCCTAGCAATAGATCCAGTAATTCTTCCATACTGCTCTTTCTCTGGCATTATCCCAATCAATATTTGGGTAATTATAGTCCTGTAATATGAAAACTTCACACTTTTGCACATTATTGTGATATCCCCACAGATTTATTCCTCTATTACAATTTGGAGGCTTTTGTTACACTCCTAGTAGTATAATAATACCTTTGTTGCCTCTCAATTCTAAGTAAATGATTCTGTCCTTGTCCCCTTGATGAGATCTTCCCTAAACAGTACTGTCACCCCATTTCTTTCTTCCTCCTCTATCTTTTTTAACTCTTTGTATCTGTGAACATTAAGTATCGAATACTCATTGTTTATTATCCAAATTTCTCTCATTACCACTACATCATAATCCTACACAGCTACTTGTACTTATAACTCACCAAACTCATTAACCACGTTTTGCCTGTTTATGAAAATTTAAATCTTTGAAGTCCTTTTCAATCTGCTCCTATTTCATATGCTAATACTTTCTTATCCAGTACTGTTCACAATCACTTTATGCACCTTATTCACTTCTTCTACTACTCTGTTCACTAGTATTCTCCAATATTTATTTTATTCACCTTATTTCCCCTTTTGCTATCCACACCCCTTACCAGTTTAGTCTAAACTCTCTCCGATTACTCGAGTGGACCTCCCAATAAGAATAGTGGTCCTAGTCCTGATTGGGTACAAGCCATCATTTGTAAATAGGTAATCCCTGACCCATAACTGGTACCAATGCTGAATGGATCCGAAGCCCTCATGTCCTCCTATTGCAACTTTCACTTGTATACAGCATTGAAAGTAACTCAGAGAATATTAAATTAATGGCCCTACATTTAATTTCCTTCTTAATTCTTGAAAATCTGACCCTAGAGCATGACTACCTGTCCTCTTTATGTCATTGGTACCAGCATGTCCTGGTGGCTTACTCCCTTTATCCTGCATAATGTTCTTCACCATCTCCATGACATTGTTTATCCTCGTACCCATGTAAAATGTTGAAATAAGAACTCTTATGGATCATTACTTGCTTTATTTTTGTCCAGCAAGCATCTATTATGTTAGCTCCCTTGCTTTCTTCTGGCCAGTCTATCTCAATGATGTATGTCATACACAAACAGTTACATACCAACTGGGTGATCAGGATTTGGACATGGTTCAGTGAGAACTTGAAGAAGACCGTCAGATTTGTAGCAGTAATGGTCAACCATCTAGGAAGAATATTTTCCATAAAATTAAAAATACATAAAACAGCAACAATGCTTTAGACTGGTACATTGGTCAGATTTTACATCAGCATCTCTGTTCTGCAATTTTAACACACAAGCATTTACTTTGACTAGACTGTTATCTGTTACAAATAATGCATGATCATTTCAGATTTTAATTTTCCCATGCACTGTATTATTCTACAAGTCAGTTAAAACTGTGCAAAGAAATTTTAACCAAATAAGTTATACCTGTGACTACTTGAAAGAAATGAAATTGTCTTTTTTCCTAAAATGATATATTTTTCTCTTGCCATCCAATTTTTTTCTGTTTTCCTTTCATTTGTCTTTTTGAAAAAAATATTCTTTTAAAGATCGTGAAACTTTATTTGCAGTAGATGTGACTGTACTTAAGACACTGTGATATTTTGCACTGATTTTGCAATTTTGGACAAATTGTACTGAAAAACCAACACAACAACAACAAATGGAAACTCTTCACTGGTGTGTTTAGTTTTTAACATCCAAATATTTGATCTGTGGTAATACAAAACTGGCCATGTGTTGACTTTTAGTATTTCTTTTTATTCAATCTGTTCATACATATAATGATACATCTTTGGGGCAAGTAGCATTTGAAGCCAAACCTTCTGGCACAGAGGTAGGTACAAGAACTTTAGTGTCAACTTTTATAGTTGCTCATATTTGTGTTTTCCACAAAGCCAAGTACATAAGGACAAGTTTGCAATTATAATCAGCAGGAATTCACTTCTCTGGCTTTCCTGATTGCTGCCATTCAGAAAAGCACAATTGACTGAAGAAAAAAATGATATAAAATTTTAGAAAATGAATTGGGATGGTTCCATAAATAAATTGATTGCAAGTTTCAGGTAGTTAAGAAGATTACAATGGGGGTGTACGTGTGCAATAGAACACAATGTCAAATTGATCTTGGGCAGATTAGATATTATGCTGATGGAAAAAGCAGAGATAAAGGAATGGGGCCAGTCTGATCAAATCAGGAAGCTTGCTTGTATGTTGATGTTGATTTCAGTCAGAAGAGGGATCAGATTTTGGGTCAGGAGAGAAGAGAACAAAGACTGAGCAGATAATTAATTTCTTGACAACAGGCAAATAAAAAGTGAAAAAAAAATTAAAAAAACCTATAAGCTAAAAGTAAAGTGTATTTTGTTTTAAAAATGAAATGTCTTTTACTCCCTGGTAATGATAGATGGTGTTGTTTTGCCAGCATTGACAAAACAAAACAATTTTAATATTACATTCTTACAATATTTAAATGTATAAAAATACCTTTTTTACATATGTATATCAATAAGGAAAGAAAAGAGAAGAACCATCCCTGCTTACCATTTGTGCCATTTGAGAATTCAATAAAGCATTGAACAATAGATCAAGTCAGAGAATACATGGAATTTTCTGATAATTGTTTACTATGGAGACTTATTGTATCACTGAAAACTGGTTTAGGTTTCAGTTCCATCATTCATTTCTAAACTAACAGCACAAGAAACATTGGAGCAGCTGTTCATCTCATCACAGGTTGTGGAATCTTATTGTGTGTGTTAAATGGCTGTCAGATTTGCATAGTAAATAATAACTTTGAGATGATTCTGAGGGACATTGCAAGACCTGAAATGTACTCAGTTTTTTCTCATGCTAGTAATTCTGGTTTAAGCAGATTTCATTCAGTTACAGAGGTTGCTGATATTCCAACATCTTTGTCGTAACTTGACGAAATTTGAGCTCAGAACTTACAGGTTTTCCCATCAGCCACTGTACCAATTCCCTGGAATGTTAGTTTTTATGTCCTGATTTTCTGATGAAGTTACAGTGCTGTTTGGAAGAACTTATGAATGCCATTGTGGTTACATTTTGTGCTGTGCCACATCTTCCAAAATCATTTCAAATCATTTTTCAACAATCAAATACTTGAAGTTATTGGCAGGTATAATATTACAGGAAGAGGAGTTAGACAGGCATTCATCATATAAAAATGAAGTGGAAGTTATTTGTCAATGACAAAGAAGTTGTGCATATTTCTGTTTGCAGTCAGTCATTTGTATCTCTTCTAATCCAGATACAGTACACAGAGCATTTTGTTGTTTTTTGCTATATTAGTGACACAGCATTTGTGCTTTAGGATCATCTCACCTTTAAACTTCTGTCTGTTCTCTAAAAGAGCAATGACATTTCACACGACCTGATCTGAATTGTACATCTCAAACATTTGAGATATGGGTACTGTTAAAGTTTATTTTTATCACTTTATCATTTCCATTTAGAGTGTGTTGAGAGTGTGCCAGCCAAAAGATTCAAGGAACTGCATTCAATCAAGTGTCAAACCCACTGAGAATTACATCTGTTTAATTGCTGAGAAGTCAACTTCTTTTTCAATTATTAGTTTGTTCAGAAGTAATTCTGAAAATATGCAATGTTGAGTTGTATGCCCTGCAGGATGAAGGGAGATTTAGGCCTAAATTTGCAAGAAGAGAAATTAAAACTAAACTCTATAGATATATGAATGCGGGATTGAAAGGATTTTGTCCAGTTGTCAAATACTGTATTCGTTTTTTGTTTTGATCCACAACAACAAACCTTGTGCTTTCTGAGTAAATTGGAAATTTAATGCTAAATTAAGGGCAGTTTACCATTGTTTACCCATGGTGACTAGAAACTAATCTTGGATTATCCAAAACAAACTCACAATTAAACCACTAACAAATTGGGTAGACTTATTCTATTATCTTGAGCTAGACTGACTCACCAATGAAAACAATTAATCCCACTCAAATTATTTCTCAATTCCTATTTCCTTTTTGCATGTCTGCATGTGGAATATGCTAAATTTGATATCACTGTGTGTCTATGAAGGATAGCAACAGGTAGCTACATTTTAAAAATAAATAATTCTTTCAAATAATTTTGCTCTTAAAATTGTTAAATATGTACTCTCTACTCCATTATCCCTGATTGCGAACTCCTCCACACTCATCCTGTCCTCATCAGCAGCAACTCCTCGGGTCTCCCAATGATAAACTTCTCTGTCCACTTAATCGTCAGAATCATCTGTGGGGTTCTCATTCATGGCTTCATACCACAGACCTTACTGAATCCTTTGGTTGTTTCGACCTCAGCCTATTCCTCTCCCAGTAAATTTTGAGAGCAAAGTGTTAAAAGGCTTAAATTCATGCAGTGGAACCAACAGATTGGAATCCAATGTCTTGTCCCATGCAAATGCATATGGTTTTGTTTTTGAGACCAAAGAGTAACAGCAACTTTAAAAATAAAAGATAAATTACAAAGCTTGTAATGAAGTTGTGTTTGATTTTTAAAAGTGTGAAGATTACAAAAAGAAAAGACAGAGAATTGAGAAGCTTTACATTTTGAGGCATGAGGGAGGAATGTGTTAAGGGTTGCGGCTATATGATCATTCTTGATTTCAACATTCAATTTCTCCCTTGGTGAGTTCCAGATACAATTTATGCTACTAGAGAAGGCATCATCAATGGATAGACAGTGGGTGCTGTCTCATAGGAATGGTAAAGAGCTGAAGGACAGATTTGTAGATTTGTTATCAGATTTCTGACATAGATCAGATTTTTTGCTCCATCAACCCAGGAAGAGTTTGTCATGTAAGAGCATCAGAAAAGTTCATTTTAATTTAAGCATAATGGTTTACCTGGTCTGGTACTGAGCCGGATAGATCAGGAAGTGTTTGATGTTATGCCTGCCAAATGAGGAAGAACCAGCAGAAGGGTAAGGGGATTCATGAATTTGGCTTCAGTGTCCCTAAAGTCGAGGAGGTTAATTTTAACTACAATCCCGACTTAGTTTAAAGACATGATCGTGTTCAGCTTGGAAACTCCCCTTGGTCAATTAATCATATCCAAATGCAAATGCTAAGAGGAAAGGCTCTTTACTGTTGGTACCTGTGGAACTGTCCAAACATAAATGCACTGTTTTCAAGATGAGAAGACTGAAAGTTAGAAGATGTAAAGAAAAATAAAAATTAAGAAAATAGTAATGTGTCAGTGAAAGTTAAGCTATGTTTTCAGTTTAAATTTTTAATTAGTTTAAATTACTATCAAGAACTTTAACCAAGAAACACTTTCCAACGTTGTATTCAATCTACCACTTCTTTGCCCCGTCTCTTAGCCTGTCCAAGTCCTTCTGCAGCCTGCTTACTTTCTCAATACCATTTGTCCCACAACCTACCTTTGTGTCATTTGCAAACTTAGCAACAATGCCCTCAGTTCTTTCCTCTAGATTATTGATGTACAACATGAATAGTTGTAGTCCCAACACTAACCCCTAAGAAACTCTACTAGTCACCAGCCACCATCCTGAAAAAGATCCCTTTATTCAACTTTCTACCTTCTACCAGTCAGTCAATTTTCTATGCTTGTCCCTTATCTTATTTTATAGCTTCCTGTACTGCACCCTGTGAAAGGCCTGGAAATCTAAATAGATCATGCCCACTAGCTCTCTTTTGTCTAATTGGTCATTACCCCCTCAAATAATTCAATATTTGTCAGCATGACCAGCCCCTGACAATGCTGTGCAGACCAACCCTATTTTACCGTGCACTTCCAAGTACTCTGCAATCTCATTCTTTATAATGGATTCTAAAATCTTACTACTGTCCGAGGTCAGGCTAACCAGCCTATAATTTTCTGTCTTCTGCCTTCTTCCCTTATTAAACAGGGGTCTTAAGTTAGCCATTTTTTCAGTCCACTGGGACCCTCCCTGACTCCAGTGATTCTTGAAAGATCACCACAAATCTCCTTGGCTATCTCCTTCAGAACCCTGGGGTATACTCCATCTGGTTGGTGTGATTTATCCTCCGTCAGACCTTTCAGCTTCTTCAGCACATTCTCCTTAGGCATTAGACTCACCTCTGTCCCCTGACTCTTTTGAATTTCTGGAATGCTAATGGTGTCTTCCATCATGAAGCCTGATGCAAAGTAACTGCTCAGTTCCTCCATCATTTCTTTGTTTTCTATTACTACTTCTCCAGCCTCATTTTCCAAAGGTCCTTCATATTGTTAGCTACCTTACCCTTTATTTCATCTTCTACACATAGCATTTTTGGAACAGTGATGTTCATTTTGCACTGAACAAATTTTGGATAAAAGAATATCATTGCAAACTGTATTCAGTTGATGAATAAAACCACTGAACATTGGGTTACTCTACCTGCCAGAGGGTGTCAAATTTTTTCCCATCAGGAATGGACAGTTTCCCTGTTTTGTCCCTGTCAATACGGTAATGATATATTTTACCCTCGTGAATCAAGCAAAGAGCATACGATCCCTTGTCGTCACGATCTCTTATTCTGGAAAGAAGAAGACATTACAGTGATTATTCAGGTAAAGTTGCTATATCAACATATTAGTGCCTTCATTTAGGTCATTTCAATTAACAACTTCAGTTACATCAGTTCTCTATTCAACTCTAGGAGACTAAGCAGCAGACTGTCTGTCAAAACCCTTTGTTGGATTACTATTTTGAGACTTGTCGTCAAAGTATGTTAAGTCTGATGCAACTGAGCTTGAAATAACTGGCCATTTAATGTTGCTTTGTAATTGACTTCATTTGAAATAGTGTAAGTGAACTGTAATTTTCATTAATTTGTTGCCAATTTTTTTTTCATTCTTTATGGATCAGAGTATTGCTGGCAAGGCCAGGATTAGTTCCCCACCCCTACTGTTGTGGTGGTGAATTGCATCTTGAGCCACTGCAGTGCACATAATGTAGGTGCACCCACAGTGCTGTGAGAAATGGAGACCCAGGTTTTTTCACTCAGTCAGAGTGAAGGAACAATAATATATTTCCAAGTCAGGATGAGGCGAATGGCTTGCAGGGGAATTTGTAGGTGGTAGTGTTCCCATGAAACTACCACCCTTGTCCTTTTAGGTGGGAGAGGCCATAGTGCTCGGAACTGTGCTTGAATGGCTTGCCATCTTGAATATGGGACAAATTCTAATGTACTTCTGTGTAGGTTGTTGACAATTAGCATAATTATTAGATTTATACTAGATGGGCACAAACTAAGCCCAATAAATACGACATTTCTGTTCATGCCACCAACACTTGGACACTTCCTTTATTTCTTCATTTTTCTGTCTTTATATTCTATGTTTTGGTTTATTTTTCTGTGTTTAAAGATGGAGCTGGAGAATGGTGACAATGTATAACATTTTTCACTGTATTTTGTAACAAGATGCATGTGACAATAAATAAAATCAAAAATACTGAGTACAAACTCATTAATTAAGAGGTCTATAAAAACTCTTACATCATATGATTTGTTCATAATACATATGGAGTCCTTGTGTGGAGTGCTCAACGTTCGCTCCTTGCCCTCTATGAAGAGAAGAACTTGACCTTAACCAGCCCAAGTTGCTATTGAGTAAAAAATGGACCTGAAGACAACGTTGTGTCACTGTCACTTAAAAAAACCAAAGTAACTATATGAAACAATGCAGTCCAACTTGGTGGTCTGCACTCTTGAACTACAGAACTTGAAATACCCTGTTTACCTTTTATCAGCACAAAGTAAAATGTCTCTTTTTCAGTCTTTTTCATGAGTATGTGTCTGTTTGGGGTTTTGAAACTATATAGCTGATGTTGCATAAATAAGTAATTAAGTAGTAATTTAGTCTCTTTTTGCCAACTATTAAACAATAGTAGTTATTTCCTGTCACAAAACATGGTGTGAATTATATTTGATTTGAAAAGCAGTCTGTCAGGCAAATTGATCATCTTGATGGTTTTATTGGGTAGTCACACATTTGTGATGATTAATGGAATAGTGGGACTTGATTATGAATAGAATATCCTTAATTTCACATGTACTCCAGTACAGAAATACATAAGTACAGTGAAATGTTTTTACAATAGCTGCCTTTAATGGTGCCATCTTAGGTACAAGGAGCTTGGTACAAATTTTTGATACAAAAGAGGAATAAAAGGAAAAGTAGTAACAGTACTTACAGTGTCTAAAAAAAAGTTAGAAATAAGGTAGTTATAACACAGTTAAAGAATTGACATTACAGTCTGGTAAAGAATTTCCAATGGCAGCAGCTCAGCATGTGATGTGACTGCCCGCGCCAGACTCCAGTCCCCCGCCGCTCCAAGTCTCCAGTCCGTTCTGCCCTGGTACTCAGTTGCACCAAGGCAAGTTGTGCTGCTCTGGGACTCGCTTCCCCTCACACTGCTCCAGGACTCGCTTCCCCTCGCACCGATCTGAGACTCGCTTCCCCTCATGCTGCTCCAGGACTCGCTTCTCCTCGCACTGATCTGAGACTCACAAAAAGAACAGGTGGAGCAAAGTAGAACCGCGTGGAGCGTCCTACTCTGCCACCATCTTGCTCGAGGCATATTGGCACAGTCTTCCGAATGGAATTATGACATTCCATTAACCTCCATTATGAACGTTAAGCTTCTAACTGTGGAACTATAACAGAACATAATAAACATGGTGTACAATATTTGACAGCCTTTCCCTGAACTAGTTACTCATAAATCAGAGAGATCATATTTTTATTTTAGATTTTAGTTTACTCCTAAGAGACAACGCTAAGCATAGGATCATTGTATTTCCCTTTTCTATGGCAATGAATATTGGCACAATATTTTAAATGTTAGCCAGCCTCAGCTTCTCTGCAATGAAAACAATTTGAATATTTAAGAAACAGCCCAAGATAATAATCTTTCTTTTTAACCATTTATTCTAAAGATACTTCATAGTTTTTTGTTTGGGTCAATTTATCGAAGCATATAGTTTGTCTATGCGTGTTAGTGACATCTGTGTGTCACCCGAGTTCCTGCTGGCCACAGAACCAGAACCTAGATGCAAAAGACAAATGCAAGAGATATGACTGCACAAACCACAGGTTGTTGGTGCCCTGTTCTGCTCTGTTGAAAAATGAAATGTGTTCACTTTCACTGCAAGAAAAAATTTGTAGCAGGTATGCTGGAGCACATTTCACATCAACCAGTGCAATCAAAGAACAGAATTATAATGGATAATATGTATTGTCACACAGGATTTTAATGGTCACTAATGAGACAATAAGACAGCTAACTACCTATAGACATTAATCAAAAGTGATCTGACCGACAAGATTAGTAAAGTTGGTGCACTATAGCTAATTCTGTGTGTAGCTATCCTACTGTCACCACCAGTATTAAAAGTTCTGGAGAAAGCTGCAAACATACATTGTTATCCTGAGTATAATATATGGAACATACAAGTGTGCTCATGCCTAACAGGCTACCTGTCAAATAAATGTAGCAGTTATAACCACTCTCAGACACATTCTGCTGTACCTGCATAACTACAGTTCATTTGTGCTTGCATCAAAATAACTAAACTGTTTCACAACAATCAAATTTCCTCCATTGCAGTTACAGTCCAGGTAGCATTGACAAAGAACTGGTACTACTGCAGTCATGATCCTAGATTTGATGCTCTTCATCACACTTCATCTAGTAATCACAAAGCATCTTCTGTCCTTTTCTATGAAGGAGACTCATGGAAGATGGGGAACATTGCTAAACAGAAAGACCAGGGCAGCCAATGCATGGGGACACTACCACTTGCAAGTTCCACCCCAAACCACGTGCCATCCTGAATTGGAAATATATCTCTACAACTTCACTGTTACTGGATCTAAATCCTGGAAATCCCTTCCTAAGCCTGTGGGTGTTCTTACATGCCAACGACTGCGTGGTTCAACAAGGCAGCACACAATCACTTTCTCCAGGGCAATTAGGGACGGACAATCAATGCTAATCTGGCTGGTGCTGCCCATATCCTGATAAAAAAAATTGTACGTTTGTAATTATATTGATATGGGGTGAAATTTGACTTCATCCAAAATTGGCACTCAGTTGGCAGTGTGATTGCTGCACTGTTTAAACAGCCATTCCAACATAATTTGCAACTTCGAGCTTTCTGAATTCTAGACAGCTCCAATGTGAAGCAATCGAAGGTTGTGTTCAAGCAGTGTAAATAAAGGTATGAGTTGTTAAACTAAGAAAAGCACTCCTGCTTTTTTTTTGACGCCATCAAAACAGGCTTGAATCTTACAAAGAGTGGCAATCACGATTGGATCACCACTCCACTACCACTTTTTCACAAGAGCAAACTCTACATTTCTGGCCCAAATCTGATACCAGGTCCTTGAGATAGTATTCATCTTCTCCTTCAGTTCTACCCTACAACCCCCACCCTGGCAGCATCTGTAGAGAGAGAAAAACAAAATTAACATTTTGAGTTTAGTGACCTTTCATCAGAACGTTTCTAAAGATGTCATACCAGAGTCAAAATATTAATTGTGTTTCTCTCATTTCAGATGCTGCCAGACCTGCTGAGTTTCTCAGCAACTTTATGCTGGCAACCATTAGATAGATTGCAGATTCAGTATGACTTTTGTGATTAAAAACGCAATGAATTGGAATGATGCCACTGACACAGTTAAACAATCACTCGGTTTTCCTGCTTTTTATATGGTGATTATGCATAGGTTTGCTGGAAAATGTAACCAATCTTTCTTGATTTTTCCTCTGTTCTATTTCTTTTTTAAAAAATATGGTTACAAACAATAAGCTTATAAAATTGTTATGCTTTAGGATTGTGATTTTAATTTAGGTTAAACTGAAGCACTGAAGGAGGTCATGTGACCAGTTCTGAATTCTGTCCTTCAACATGCTTATGTGTCTTGGTTGCTGAAGGCTAAAGGAGATCACAGGTTATTTACTGGGAAGAAGATGCAGCATATTCACATCTGTAAACAGTTATTAAAACAGCTGCACTTGATAGTGTTTAGACATTTCATCTCCAAGTTCCAGGGAGGGGATGGGAATGTCAGCTTTTGTAAATGGTTATAGTTTACACTGTCTATTTATTTCCAAGGTAGAATGCAGTTGGAGATCTAGAAGATAGCTAGTTAGCATTTCTACCTGGCCCATGTGATTTAAATTGCCATGGGGATAGGCTCTGATAGAGGTGCAGTCCACAGATAGCCATTGCAGGATTTGGCTGTAAGTTTTCCTTTACAATATCACTGAGTCTCACAAACATGGTCAATCTGCAAGAATTTTAGACAGAGTACAGACAGATGGAGGTAGCAAGTCTCCATTGTTCACCACCATTCTGGAGGTGGGTGTGTGTGCATGCCTGATTGAAGAAACCAAGTTTTTGCAAGTTTAAATGTAGCTTGAAGATTCATCTAGCTTTGGCTAGAGGAAGCAATTTCCAATTTATTTCTCACTATAAAGGTTTGTCTGGAAAGTAGAACTTACCCAGCAGGAAAAGGGAAAAGGAGATCAGAATAACTTTGGATTGCTTGCTGGAGAATGAAATATTTTCTTAAGGAACTGAGTTTGTATATCACAATGAAGAGAGATTTTCAGTTACTTCAAATGTTAAATGGAGGATTTTTTGTAATTTAGAGTATAAGTTGGCAACTGCTTAGTATATTATCAATGTTAAATATTTGCAATGTGATCCTGCAGTGCAGAACAGAAAGATTAATTTAGCCACTTGAGTTTGCATCGGCTCTTCTAAAGAGCAATCGGTTAATCCTACTTATCAATTTCTTAAAATACTTTATAGTTTTGTTTTTGAAACAACTATTAAACCCGTAAATTCACCAATATATCATACAGTGCCTTTCAAAAGGCTATTTTGCTATTGTGCAAAAAACAAATTTCTACATATCACCTCTGGTGCATTTGCCAAATCACCTTAAAGGACCATTTCATTTTGACTCTTGGTTTATTGAAAACAGTTTATTTTTATTTACTTAATTTGAATCATTCACAATCTTGAATGATTCATGGTTAAGTATTTGATCATCTAGTGCCTATATACATATATAGCCTTCCAATTGATCTTATGTGAATCTGTAACAAATTCATAAAAGATCTGCTGATTTCTTGATATGTGGTGATGCCTGGCATTGATGGAGTTTGAGCAGAGGTAAGCCATAGGTTACCTAAAGGCTGAGGAAGGCTTTTTCTAGTTAGGTTTCTTTGCGTGTAGAATACACATAAACTGAACACACATGTGAGATTCTGCAAGAACTCCTTTGAGAATTGTTGCTTAGCTGTTATTGTCAGCATCTGCGTGCCACTTAACCACAGGTCAGTGCAGGAAGTACATGCACACATTTTTCATTGAGTTATGAAACCACAGGCTTCCAGTGAATAGCTTATCAACAATTTGAACACACTCAAATTACATCTTGCACATTCTATACTTGTCTAAGGCTTCTGAAGTTTTAAACCCTCCCTAAGTCATAAACCTTTCTTTTTCTCTTCATCCAATGCTGTATATCCCTTCATATCCAGGATTCACAGGATTTGATGGCTCCACCCTTTGTCTTTGTTGGAACATGTTGGCCTTGAACTCTCTTTATTTCCTTCCTGAACACATCCCACTGTTCTGAGACAGATTTACCTGAATACATCTGCTCCCAGTCCATTCTGACCAAATCATATCTGACCTTATTAAAATCAGCCTTCCCCCATTTGAGAGCATTGATTTCAGGCCCATCCTTTTACTTTTCCATAACAATCTTGAATCTAACTAAGTTATCATGCTGTCTGCAAAATACACCCCCACTTTGACCAGTGTGGAAACAATGAGCCGAAGGGCCTTCTTCTGTATTGTACACCTCTGTTACTCTATAAGCCATTTTCTTGACTTCTGCCCTCTACACCCCACCAGTCCAGATATTGACATCTCAGTGGGGCTGTTCAACTTTAAAAAATGCGGGACTTGGTGAGCACCTCACTGTAACAGCTTCATCGCAAGGGAGCAAAGTCCCAGGCTGCTGGAACTCGGAGGACTGCTGGTGGCTTGACCTGTACTTTTCCCCAGGCTGGGGAAAACCTTGTAGTGTTGGCAAACATGAATTTCATCCACATGCACAGGAAGAAACTAGATTGGCAGACAGGTATGTAGGAGTCAATGGCTCTCACTGCCCAAAGGCTGCAGAAGTGCGCCAAGTCATGTGAGCATCTAGTTGCCTCTATGGAGATGGAGGCACAGCGGCACAGTGGTTAGCGTTGTTGCCTCACAGCACCAGGGACCTGTGTTTGATTCTAACCTCAGGCGACTGTCTATGTGGAGCTTGCATGTTCTACTTGTGCCCGTATGGTTTCCACGGAGTGCTTTAGTTTCCTCACACAGACCGAAGATATGCAGGCTAGGTGGATTAGCCATTGTAAATGCAGGGTTACAAGGGTGGAATAGGGGTGTGGGTCTAGGTGAGAGCATGAGGCAGTGTCGATAGTCATCAATGTGGCAAAGACAGTCGTGAGGGATGTTGCCAGTGTAACAGTGGAAGAGGGACTGTTCCACGTATCCTACAAAGAGGCAGGTATAGCTCGGACACATACGGGTGCCCATAGCCACCCCTTTAGTTTGTAGGAAGTGGGAGGAGTTAAAGGAAAAGTTGTTGAGTGTAAGGACAAGTTCCATTAAGCAGATGAGGGTGTCGGTGGAAGGGGACTGGTTGGGCCTGTGAGAGACGAAGAAGTGGAGGGCTTTTAGGCTATCTACATGGGGGTACATGTGTACAGGGAATCAAGGGTTATGATGAAAACACAAAAAAAAGGATATGAGAAATGCTGGATCAGCCATGATTCCATGGAATGGTGAGCAGGCTTGAGCGGTTGAATGGCCTACTCCTGTTTCTATTTCTTATGGTCTTATGGGAGTTTATCTAAGAAAGCATTTAGTATTTGCTTTGTACGACCGTCATGGAGTGATCCTTTTTCTGTTTAAAACTATGAAATCTTAAAGCTTTGCTCTTTCAATAAATCACCAGGATTTTGGTTTTATTCTACTTAAAACAAAAAATGTTATTGTGATCTCTAATGTGATTGTAACAACAACATAATGCATTGTAAATCACAGGTAATTAATTACACAAATTGAAAGAAAAAATATTAACTTGGTATAAATATATGAAAACATAATCACTAACAGACCATGCCTCATACTGTACCCCCACACTAATGCTACTTCATTTATCAGGGATTTCAGCATTTTGAAAGTGATTTTGAGGACCTGCAAACGTGAACTGAAACACGATACAATATATCAAAACATTCAGAGCAAAAATTGCAATTCATTACTAGATTTTTCAAATGCAGGAATGCAGTTCTATTGGCAACGAATATTTGCGAGTTACAATGTTTTTTTGAACCAAATTAATTTACCTTGAAACAGTGGTAAAAGTTTGGTGCACATTTGCAAAAATGTACCGAAATTTATAAGTGATTAAGCTGCGAATGGTAATGCTTTTGTTTTTTAAAACAATGTGCACTTTCTACTCACAAAAATTTTCCATTAGTCCGTGAACCTCTGAGAATGCAACGTTCAGCATCATCTCGAGATTTCTTCCCGTGAAACCAGGGCATTCGCTCATGGGCTGTTGTTGCAATTAATTTCTCTAGTTGTGGTTTCTGGCTAATAATTGCCTGTTCAAGAGGATCTCCCTGCACACAGAAACAAAATGGTTTCCATTTTACAGATTGTAATGAATTTATTTTGAGAACAGTGATAAAAAAGCTAACTGGAATCACATTAAATTCATCAGTGGCAGTGTAAAGAAAAAAAGAACAGGTTAATGGTTTGTGTACAGATCCTTAATTGGAAACTGATATTTCAGCTCCTAAATAGAACTGTATAAAATAATGTAACATCATGAGCCAAAGAAAACACAGGATATGAAGAAGGTACTAATGGATACACATGTAAATGTATAGGTCATGGGAATGAAATCGCAGAAATACTAAATAATTACTTTGCCATATTATATAGCAGGCAGACAAACAGTGAGCATAACATTCGAAAAATAGACTGAAACAAAGAAATGATGTTAAGATAGAAGAAAAGATTTTTAATTAACATATTAATTAATATTAGAGAATATAAAACGTCAAGTCAATTTCAATTTGTTGCAATTGGATGTTGCTATCACAGGTGGACTGAGCAGAGCAGAGTGAATGAAGACTCCTTTGTTTCACTTTTCCAGCCATGAAGGTTGTGGCTCTTGTTCCCCTGGCTCATTACAGCACTACTGGATACTCCCTTCTGTCTCCCTGTTGTATTCAGGTGATTCTCCTGACATCTCTACATTAATGGCTGTTCACAGCCAGTTTTAGCACAATTAATCAAATCTTTTGCATGTTCAATCATCAGTCTTGGAACAGCTGAATTATTTAATTCTTTTTGTGATTATCTAGGATAACAACATCCAATTGTCTGCTTTTGACTGTAGTTGCAAATCAACAAGCAAAAAATTGTATGGCATTTTGGGGTCATTTTGTGGGATTCCTTGTGGCGATTTTACAGATGGCCTAGCTTTCTTTACAAAGTACACAGTATTATAACTACACATTTGTTCCAATACCCCTCATCTCAAAGCAGGCAACTGGTGCATTTAATTAGGGTGTTAAAAGGTGAGGGAGGGTGAATCACTGCAAGACAAAACATTGTGCAACTACCTGGAAATCATTTAGACATCTGGATAAACATCTTTCTGTGACTGCAGACCAACTTTACTTTGCTGGAGTGAAAACTAGCATATTGTGAATACTCATAAACTATCTGTGGATGCCTTAATTGCCATAGATGTGTAGTCAATAATACCCTGATCCTGTGGAAAGGCAGAATCATATACCCAAGTGCCCTATGATCTGACTGGTGTACTTAATTGTTCGCCTGGCAAACACAACACCACTCACATGTAGGTTGCAAATGAATCATAGAGTATAGAAGAGGCCCTCTGGCCCATTGAGTCTCTACCACCAAAATTATACTACTACCTATACTTTTTTAAAAGTTGTGAGTTTCTTGCCTTGACTACTCTCCCAGTGCATTCCAGAGCCACATCACTCTTTGGGCAAAAGAGATTTCCATCAAATCCCCTCCATGCTTCCTGCCTTTTACTTTAAAATTATGGCCACATGTTATTGATCCTTCGACTAAGATGAACAATTGCTTTTCATCCACCGTGTCTGTGTCCCTCATAATCTTATTCACCTCTATTAGGTTCCACCACACACCACGCCCCACCTCAAATTTTCACTGCTCTAAACAAAACAACCCAAGACTATTTTGCCTCTCTTCAAGTTTAAGTATTCAAATCAGGCAACATCCTGGTGAAAAAAAAACAAAGAACTACATTATACTAGAAACCAGAAATTGCTGGAAAAACTGAGCAGGTCAGGTAGCATTTGTGGATAGAAAACAGAGTTAACATTTCAAGTCCAGTGACCCTTCTTCAGAGCGAGTGAATCTCCATTGCACCCCCTCCAGTGCAATCACATCCTTCCTAATAGTATGGTGACTGAACTGCTAGAGACTCCAGCTGTGGCCTAACCAAAGTTCTGCACAGCTCCAATGCGACCTCCCTACTCTTTATAATCTATGCCATGACTGATAAAGGCAAACAGCTTGTATGCCTTAAATATCTTATTAACCTATCCTGTCACCTTCAGGGATCTGTAGACAAGCATCCTGAGATCCCTCTGTTCCTCTGAGTTTCCTAGAGTCTTGTCATTCTTTGAGTACTTCCTTGTCTTGTTCCTTATTCCAAATGGTTCGCCTCATATTTATCAGGGTTAAATTCCATCCACCACTGATCTGCCCATCTGAACATCTGATCTGCCCATCATTTAAACTATCACCTTGCTCTTCAACGTCAAGCACCAATCATTGTGTCATCTGCAAACTTATCTATCACCCTCCAACATTCTCATCTACATCATTTATGAATATGACAAACAACAAGGAACCCAGCACTCACCAACAGTATTGGAGGAATAAAACTCATCCAGATCTGGGGATTTGTTCATTTTTAAATTTGCCAGATCCACCAATACAACCTTGCTTCTTATAGGAGGCGGATAGGGGACTCCTACACTAAGAGACCTTCAAGGCTGCAAATGCTGGAAACTAGAGTCAGGGATTTTGGCCTGAAACATTGACTTTCCTGCTCCTCGGATGCTGTTTGATGGGCTGTGCTTTTCTAGCTCCACAGTTATTGACCCTAGCTTCCAGCATCTGCAGTCCTTACTGTCTCCAAGCTCCAAGTCAGTGAAACCATACTGTGAAGTCCCTTTTAAGGATGCCCAGCTTGAAGAAGTTTTCCTCCTCCCTCTGAAAAGAGCTCAATGAGTCTCTCTCTCAATGCAACCCCCTGGTTATCCCCTCTACCCTGAAGCTTTTCAAACACATTCTGAAGCAATCTCACTACTGCAGCCACGTGTCCTTCCTCAGTGCCTGTCTACGCAGCTGGCTAAACGCCCATGGACTCCAAATAACATTCAGACCATCACAACTTAGACCCAACCATGACAACCGTTATCTGCAGCACCTCCAGGGCCTCCAGAAATGGTTCTCCCTGTGAATTCTCAGTCCACACTTGCAGCCATGTGTCGACACCTTCTCTCCGTGCAGTCGGCCTTGCCCCTGCTCAGAGCTTGTCTCTCCCAGACCTCAGGTGACTTCTACTGTTCTTTGTCCTCAGGAGGATCCACACCCTCAACAAATGTTTGGACTCCTACACTACCTGTCTGTTTTTCCTTGACAACCTGGTGGTCATCCATTTATTTCTTTCCTCCAATGTCTTTAGTTGTGATGTGTCCACCTTTCCAAACATGCTATCCCAGCCTCACAGAGGTACCACAGTATCTCCCACCATCGCTTAACCTCCAGATCTGAGGGAAAGAAGATGGTGGTGACGTTAACAATCACTGAAAATGTGTGAGCAATATTTTGGTGACAGATGTTTTAGCAGGCTGCAAAACTCTGAGCCTCTATCTGTAGGTCCAATGCTATATCTCCTTCTGTGAGCTGTGAGAATATATTAGAGTACCAGAAACATAGGATGCTATTGTCCATCATGTCCATGCGGACTGTCAGTGAGAGCAACTGAATTTGTCCTGTTCATCCGCCTATCCCTTGGAGACATGCAGTCTTTTTGCTTCAGCCCCTTATCTCATAGGTTTGCGCAAAACAAAGAAAAATTATGGGGAATGCTGCTGCACATCACATCCAACATCTAAGCTATACAAGCTGAGCACGGGCCACAGAAACAAATCTTGATCACAGAAATGCCCTCCAGTGCCTCCACACATGAAAGCAGTCAGTAATATTCTGAATGTTAATAGAAACATATAAAATAAGTGCAGGGCTAGGCCATTTAGCCTTTCAAGTCTGCTCTGCTATTCATTATAATCATGCCTTTTCCCCATATCTTTTGATTCCTTCAGCACCAAATGAAACTTAGCACCAACCTCACCCTGAAGTCATACAATGTTTTGGTCTCAACTGTGATTTTGTGGTTGCAAATTCCACAGGCTCACCACTCTCTGGGTGTAGAAATTTCTCCTTAGCTCAGTCTTAAATGGCCTATCCCATATTCTTAATGTGTTACCCTGGTTCTGGATTCCCCCACCATTAAGAACATCCTAATGCATCTACCCTATCTAATCCTTTTAGAATTTGAACTACTGAACTCCAGTGAATATATCCTAACTGATTTAACCTCTCCTCATATATTTGTCCCACCATCCCAGGAATCAGTCTGATAAACCATCACTTCACTCTCTCTATAGTTAGTACATTGTTCCTTAGATAAAGAGACCTGAATTGCACACAATATTTCAGGCGTAGCTTCACCAAAGCAAGAAACTAAACACAAGCCCATCAGTCAACGATCAGCCACCAGTCACCACTCCCCTCTTCCCCCACTTCAGGGAATTGAATCCTGGTCTCCCGTACGGTTGGCAGGGCTACTGATCAAAACACTAATATGAAGATTCCAGAGTGCAGATCAAAAGAAACTTCCATGCAAAATGGGAAAATAAATTTCTGTTCACAACTGTAAAGGATAGAGCATTTGTCTTATATGTTAGCAAAGTATATTGATAGGTATAAAGAGCAATATAAAATGAAACCAGACCCATCAATGTGTAGTAACTTTAAGGACAGTTTTCCCTTGAGTTGCATATTTTGGACAAAGAAAGTTGATGAGCTGAAGGATCAACAGTCATTTTTTTTCTCAACCAGCAACAAAAGGTAATACCTGAACTGATACATCATTTCACATGGTGAAGCACAAGAAATTATTCACAGATGGTGAGGTAATTAAAGAAGTAATGGCTGTGGCTGCTGACTTTTTATTCAAAGGTTGTTAAAACAAAGAAGAAATATTAGCGGCAATCCAAAACATTTGAGTTGGTGCTTCCACAGTAGCAAGATGAGTGCAGTCCCTGTTCAGAGAAATTTTTTAGCAACTATAGTGGAAAATGAAAGACTGGGAATGTTTCTCACTGCAGTTTGATGAAAGATTGTCACAGCCTAGCTGCTTACTTTTGTGTGTGTGATTTTTAAGGACGTAATATATAAGGGGATTTTCTCACCTTTTTAACTATTATAGAACAAGCTGAGAAGATATTTATAACAAATTCAAAAGGTAAGTATATGG